TTGCTTTCACAAATGCATTAATTTATCATAATATTGGACCGAACCTTGTTTCAACACTTCAGAACATGATTTCAGTTTCCAATTTAGAAAAACAAGGACGAGGTGCACCTGATTATGAACAAGTATTTGAGTATTATTTGAAATCAGCGCATCCTGGCGAGCAAACTGCAACAAAATTCGTGATATCATCATCGTCTTCCTTGAAGGCGTATGTCAAATTATCGCCGATTGTTTACCGCTGGGCCCTCCTAAATTTGGCTCTTCTAATCCTGTGGAACTCTTGTTTTATGATATTCTCAGAGCACAGATAGCTATACGATTTACTAAATTTGGAATCGGAATCAACTGACAATAATAGTTTAATCGGTCAAGTAAAAAGTCTATATGAAGAATACAGTGAAGCAAAGGTATCATATTCGTTGAGCCTATTAGCGAAGATAAACGATAATGAATTGCTTCTAGGTTTCTTTGATGAATATTTACCAAAAAATTTATAACAGCGATCAAAAGATCTAACCAATCGAAAATGTAAATTTTGACAACAAAAATGGAGTGAAATTCTATTCACTTTCCGGTCTATTGAATCTGATTATTATGGACATCTAATTGAATATGATATTAAAAGTTCAGATAAGTTCTTGGATAAAATTCAAACACGCAAATTATGAGAGGATGTACGTTATTCATATTATAGCAAAAAAGAGGCGGATGAAAGTAATATCAAACGAAAAAAAATAACGACTCATTTTGCCACTCTTGGCTGACCTTCACCACAATACTATGCTCCTTTCAGCGTTCACGTTTGGATTAACGATCAAGTACTTTTTAATTGGCGCGAGCTTCTAGGATTTCGGATCATGTAATATTACGAATTCGTCCATTTTACTTTTGTCCAATTTTTTCTTATGTTTATTTTAACGTTATTCGATCCAAAATTTTCTCAACAACATTTTAGTTTGTAATTATCTTAGTAAAAGAGAATTTTCATAGTTGATAATTGAAAAAATATCAGTTACATCTCCTTTCAATCGCCTGCTTCATAACTTTAATTTCTCATTAACGTCGATTCACACGCAAAAGTACCATGATTAATTGCAGATTATGGTAAAGCAAACGGATTATTTCAAACAGTTATATTGGTCCAGCAATATCACCGTAATTCCGCGTTTAATTTCTCATACTTTAATAACAATGTTCAGGACTACGTGCAATGATCTACGATTTTAACTTCTCGTCACTGTAACTGTTTGAAATAATGTGTGTGCTTTGCCATAATTTGTTAACAACTATGATGCTTTTGCATGTGGGTCGGCTGCTATTCTGATCAAATGTCACTTCGAATTTTTAATTTCTTATAAAGTTGTCTTATCAAGAACAATCTCCTACAAAGAACCTTTTATAATACCAATAATTTATGAATATCTTCACAATTGAACATAAATTTGATTGTATTCTTTTATGTACATCTCTTATTAATTCATTTTGACAAATATTGTTTTTATTTTCTCTAAAACATAAATGGTGATAATTTGCTTATCTTGGTAATCTTTTTTTAATAACAAATTAAAGCCAATAACCAGTATTCTAAAACAAAAGTTTCAAAAGGTTCGAGTTCGATTCGATTTCGAACTCTAGTTCGTACTCTAACTCTGAGTTCGCTTTGTTGATTTCGAATCGAACTCAAACTTGGCTTGAGTTCAATCCGAAATTGAACTTTAGAAACACTATTTCTAAATTCAATTTAATCAGTTATAGTTTATATTTCAGATTACAAATCTTTTTTAAGATTATCTATAATAAAAATTGATATTTGATGAATTATAATTATAATATAAAAAATTTAAAATTATAAAATTAAATATATTGGTCTTTATCTATAATAATTATATTTTATAATTCTAAGTAAATTTATAAGTTTACTTTTAAATTATATTACTCTATAAAATAATATATAATGAAAAACTATTATTTAAGAAAATATAATGAATTTTTAAAATTAAAAAAAATTAAAAATATTTAGTTTGTCTAATTTTGAAGCTATTTTGATTTGATTTCAAATCAAATTCAAATCTAATAATTTATAATTTGAAATCAAACTTGGATCAAATCAGACTTCTTTTAAAATATAATAAATAATATTAAATAAAAATCAGTTTGTATAAAAAGTAATAATATTAGTTTTTTAAAATTAAGATAAGATGGCTACAAAAAATTTATCTCTAAAATATTTCTAAATAGGCTATCATATTTTAAAAAAATCAATACATGATTTTTTCTATATTAATGTAGATTTGAATGCAATTTGACATATTAAAAAATGAAAAGAACTATTATTAGCAATGTTATTAAGTTGACCATTTTTTACAAATGAACAAAAACTTGTTAACTTAGTAAAATTTTGCATAATTGTGAGTCAAATTAATGCCTTTCATGTCATAATTATCAAAATTCTGTTCATAATATGTATTATAATTTTCAATATTTAAAGATATATTTCAAAATAGAGTTTCAAAAGTTTTTATGTGATGTACTATATTATGAATGACACATATTAAAAACTTTTTTATGTGTCCATCCCTTCTTTGAAAAAATTTTTGCATATAAATAAAAAGATTTTTTATAAATAAAGTAATTCTATAGGAATAAATATGGAAATCTGAGTAACATATCATGACGTTGCTACTTGGCAAGATTATATTAGAAAAACATTTCTATTACATGTAAATATATCTTCACAAAAGTATTTTAATAATTGTTTCTTGGATAAGTAAGATATAATTTTTGTTTTTACATAGTAAATAATTTTTTCAGTTCTGAGATATTTTTAATAAAACTTCTTTATCATAGAATTTGAGTCTTATAGTAATGATGTATGGTCACAAAAATGATGTTTGTGAATCAAAAAGTAATCAGTACGATTCTTTTGAAGTTTCACTTAATTTTAAATAGTAAAATTTAAATTGAAGTATTCTTAAATTGAAAACATTCTCAACGTTAAGAACTTACTGACTTGAACATAGAGAAATAATTTGTCTTTTTAAAGATGATTTTTTTTCAATTAATATTGCCTAAATTCTAAACTACAGTTAAAACTATAATTAATAAATGTAAAAAAATGGGAAAATCATAGTTTTTATTAGATGAGTAGACTGAAAAATTTACTATTCATGCAGTTTATCATAAAGTTCAATTTGTTGGAAATAACTAGCTAAACAAATTACAAAAGATGTTAATACAAAAATGAACAATATAATTAGTGTAAATATTGTTCTTCATACTCTTTACAAGCAAGATTATCATGAATTAAAAAAAACTATTTGTTATGATATAAAAAAAGAAAGAATTGAATTGTTAGTTAGAAGTTGGTAATTTAAATGATAGGTCATGGTATTAATTTTTGAAAATGATAGATTGGCACAAATAATATAAAGCCAAAAAAAGAGATAATGGCATGGTAATATTTACACAAAATATACTTGGACCATAAATAATTTATCTTCTATGTCTGTATGTTATATCTTTCAAGATGATAATACGTATTTTTATAGAATGAATCAAGTATAAGAATGGAAAAAAGAAAATGATATTTTTAGTCTGAATAAAGTCCTAATCTTAATTCAATTAAGCATCTCTGGGATGTCTTGAAGAGAGAGGTTCATGCATATCTCAAATATCCTAAAAATGAATCTGAATTAGTATCGAAGACTAGAATTTAATTGTTAATTAATAACATACCTCAGAGTTAAAGTTGTTAAAATGATAAAAGATTATCAAACTAAATATTAATTATATGTATTAATAGTCCTTATATTAATATTCAGCTAATCTTTTAGAAAAGTTATCATAATAATTATTTTGAACGTAAACCATTTTTATCCAAGCATTTGTGACATAACTTCCCTATGAGTCCAGAGTTTTTAAATGGAATAACAAATTCATTCAAATACAATTTATACCAGTGGAACCTAAGATAACATTTTGTTTATATATATATATAAATTATATATTAATCTTTCAAATTAATTAAGAAATTATAATATAAATCACTATATGTATTACATGTAAGTATATAAAATTTTATTCATGTAAGATCATTTTATTGAATGAACTAACTGAATTCTAATTTTAAGAGATTAGAGTTTGGATCATCATCTGAGTTATAAATTAAATCCCAGATCAGATCCATTTTTAGATCCCTGATCAGTTAAGTTCTAAATAGGAATGGCAGTTCTTAGATCAGATCAGACCAGATGAATTAATTAATATCTTTACTTTAAAATAAAATAATAAGTTATTTATTTTTTCATCAAATATATTTATTATTAAATATATAAATTTCAATTCTAAGAAAAATTATTAAAAATATAATATTATTTTAAAAAGAAGATAATTTTTTTATTAAAATTATTATATTTTTAAATTATATAAATAATCAGAATTAAATATAAAAATAATAATTAATAATCAAATTTCTTAATTTAAAAATAATAACTAAAAAAGATTATTATAATTAAATATTAAATTTATTTATTTTAAATTTTATTATAAACTTTAATTATATATTAAGAATTTTTAAAATATAATTAAGAAATTTAGTTATAATTATTTATAAATAAAATTATAAAAATTATTTTATTAACTTTTTTATTTTATTTATTAATATATATAGTAATAATCAAAAATAATAACCCAAAAATTAAATTTATTAATAAAATATATAATATAATACAAAAAGATTTATATATTAAAATAAGTAGTTATAATTACTATGAGTGATCTATATGTATAATCAAATCAAATAGTATAATTTTATATTATTATGATATAAACTTTTAATAGAATATTAATTAATTATATATTGTTTACTTTATATTACAATATGATTAGATAAGTAATTACTTATATATTATTGAATATTAGTTTTAAAGAATATTATTTATAGATATTTTTAGAAGATTTTGTAAATATGATGATTATGACAAAATTATCATAGTAAAATTAGCAAAATTATTATAGCAAAACTAATAATACTATCATAATAAAATTAATATTATAATATTAATATTTAGATTATAGTAAAACTAGCATAAATATTATAATATAAGTATTATTCATATAACTTCTAAAATATATAAAAGTAATATATCTTAGCTAGTAAATTTGGATAGATAGTTAAGAAGTTAATAATTAATTCAGATAGTTTAATTAGTTTAGTTTGAGTTCTATAAGTTTAGTTCTTAATTTATATTTAAGTAGATTTTAGTTTTAAGAGAATTCTAAGAAATTTCTCTTGAAGAATAGATCTTGATTAAGATTTATTATTTTATCTTATTAATAAATTAAATATTACATCTGTCTTGAAATTATATTTTGGAATTGAACTATATTCTAGCTAGTTACAATAAGAATATTATCATTATTTATTTTTAGATAAATCTTGAAATAATAGTATTTATAGTCTTATTAATAAATCTTTTAAAGACTTACTTATTATTGCTATAAGTATTACTTTTGTTATATGCTTTTGTAATATTAAAATTAATACTCATCCTTATATCAAACTTATATCAAAAAGATAACAACTTTTTGATATTTCCTCTGTAAAAAAATAATTTCAAGAGATTACCAAATTCAACTCAAATCTAGATAAAGAATTCTCTGTAGATTAAATTAAAATTAGTAAAGAATCAAAAGTAACTAAAGAAATAATTTTGCAATATATCAAAATAAATCTAATTAGAGAAATTAAAATAGAAAGAGAAAGACTTTTTGCTCAACTATTTACTGAGTTACATCTTGAAGATTATACTGATCCTGATTGTCAAATTATCTGGAAAAAATTTTATTATTTTTATTAAGAAATAATATATAATGAAACTTAAATCAAGACAAAAAAAGACTTTGTAAATTTAATTAAAGAAGAAACTGATTTATTAATAAAACAAATATAAATATATCTCTATAAATTACAATAAGAGATATTTGAGTTAAAAGATAAAAGAAGCAAATATCTAACAGAATAAAGATAAAGAAAGTAACAAGATATATCTGTAGAAGTATCTAATCCAAGCCAATCAAAATCAAATAAAAAACTGCTAGATATTTTATAATAGTTTAGAAAATATAATCCAGATATTCTTGAATAAATATTGATATAATTACTACTTAATAAATATTTAGAAATATAGCTAATTACTCAAGATATACCTATTATTTCAATATTTATTTTTCTAATATTACTTGAAAAAGAAAAAATAAGTAGAGATAAAAAGAATAAAATATTATCTTTATCAACTACTGATAATAAGTTTGAAAATTTGATGTATAGAATTAGAGCACTTGTTATAGTTCTATAAAGATCAAAGAAAGTTAATTATATCAAAATTATAGAATTCTATAGTGATACTCAAGATCCAATTAATTAATTTTAAGATTTTGAGAATGCTTATATTACTAATAGTATTAGCAATAAAAGAAAAGTGCAAATAGTAAGAGCTTATCTGAAAGATTCAGTTATCACATAATTTGTTAATAAAAAACTACAGGAGTCAGAATGATCAAAAATATAAAGTTATAATTATGATGCTAATCAAAATACAAAAGTAACTTCATTCATATATCAATTTGAAAAGTACTTTAGAAATCATAACTAATTATATAAATAGTAATAATAGTTAAAATAAAGAAAACAATTACCTGATGAAAGTATAGAATAATATATTATAGCTATCAGAAAAGTAAATCTGATCAATATTTATCTAAATCACTTATATATATCTTATTTTATAGATAGACTTAGACCAGAAATTAAATTCTTTGTAAATTCAACTTATTTTGTAATATTAGAAGAAGCAATTAATATAGTAACTACTTATGATTCTAATTTTTAATAATATAATATTATATCAAATAGTTTATCTTTCTTACTAATACTATTTATAGATATTAGAATTAATAAGCTAGCAGAATAAATTAAAAGTATTATTTTAAAATTAGAAAAGTTAGTAATGGCTAATTAGCCTAATAGTTACTCTAATAATAAAAATAATTCTATTAAATATAATAATTATAGAAAATTTAATTATATTGTAAGTAAATATAAAAGTAGAAGAAATAATAATTATAATAATAATTATAATAATAATAATAATAATAATAATAATTTTAATAATAATTTCAATAATAATAACTTCAACAATAATAACTCAAGAAACTCTATCATCTGTTATAACTATAGAAGTACTGATTATATTACTAATAGATATGTTAGTCTAAGAAAGAATAAAAATAATCAAGATAATAATAATTATAATAATAATAATAATAAGAAAAATAATAATAAAATAATAATAATAAATAGAATGTTTACTTGAATATAAAAGAGTATTTAAACTCTTAAATATATTTTTAGAAGATAAGAGTGTATTTATAAATAAAAAATTTTTAATTGATAATGATTAGCTCAAGAAATTACTAATAGAAAATGAAAAGAAAAATTAATAAAATCAATAAATATTATAGATACTATGCATATAAATGGACTTATTAATAATCAGCCTTGTAAAATAATAATTGATAGTGATGCTATGAGTAATATAGTTACTTAATAATTCTTGAAGAAGATAAATTAAAAAATTTAAAGATTTAGTATAATAAATCTAATTAGTATCAATAGTCAAAAGAGAAAGTACTTAGAGAAGTAATTGACTTATCAATTATTTTAGAAATGGAATCAATTAAAATTAAAATATTAGTAATCATGAATAGTGACTATGATTTTATATTAGAAAATAATTAGGCTCATACTTATAAAGTAGTTATAAGCTGAACTAAAGATCTATTATAATTTGAAAATTAAAAGAAATAGATTAAAATACCTATTACATGTTTAGAAAGTATTATAAAATTGATGAAGAAAATAATTTATATAATATTGATAAAGAAGTAGAACTTAAAGTTTTTAATAATGATAACAAAGAAAAAATATCAGAATTTATTTATAAAATAGATGTTGGCTTTAATCTGAGATATTCAAAATTAAAAGAACTTATTATTTCACCTTAAGAAACAGTAATAATAGATTTATATATTATAATTAAAGTATCAAAAGAAATATTTTGTCAGCTTACTTCTAGATTTTTCTTAATATACAAAAGAATAAAAATAAAAGCTGATATTATAGATGCTAAATATATTAGAAATATTAAAATATCAGTTCATAATAATTTTAGTCAATTATATATTATATAGTCTAATAAGAAGATAGCACAAGCAATATTTTTATCACTAGTAAAGATCTCAAAAATTCAATTAATATTAACTCATAAAGAACTAAAAAACTCAGAAAGAGATCAACAAGATTTTGATTTAACTGATAGATTTAAAAAAAAGAAATCTTTAATAGAAGAAGAGAATAAAGATAAATAGTAATAAAAGCTGCAACTAGTCACAACTCTATCATAATTCTCTGATTGACTGTTACAACTTTGTTATAATTCTCTGATTGGCTGTCACAAGCCATAACTAGTTGAGGAGCTATCTTTAAAAATGAATATGAAAAAGATAATGATATTGATTAATCACTTTTGAATATTCAAGAAAGTCTAGATAAACAAATAAAAATACTGGACTTGCAAGTAAAAGAACATTATACTTAACTAGATAAAGAAAAATTCTTTCACTTAATATTTAAAAAGTTAAAAAGAAATAAAGTTATCAGCTTAGATAAATATCTTCATATCAATAATTACTTATTAACTGAATTTATAAATATAATAAAGATAACTAATATTATAAATAGATAAAACTAATACCAGAACTGCTTTATCAAGTTAATAAAAAAGAAAATTCTAATGAGAATAATCTAATATCAGAATAAAGATAATAATTAAAAGAATTATTAAATGAATATCAAGATCTTTTTGATAAAAAACCTGAAAAAACTATAATTATTTTACATGAGATTAATACTGAAACTAAAGAACTAATAATTCTAAAGTCATATTATAGATACTAATCTATTAAGAAAAAATTTATAGAAAAAGAAATTGAAAAAATACTTCAATAAAATATTATTTTATGATCAGATAGTCTATAATCTATATCTATAGTAATAGTTAAGAAAAAGAATAACAAATATAGATTTTGTGTAGATTATCACTAATTAAATAAAATTATAAAAAGAGA